TCTGATTTGTAGATAGGATTCTTGGACTGTCGTCTATCTTTCAATTGTTCATAAATAGTTTCACTTTCTTTTAAATTGAGCTTGCAAATGAGAGGTCTGATCCTTGATTCTCTTTCTTTGTCAAGTAAATTATTTTATTATTTGTGAAAATTTATATAATTTCAAATGTATACTTTTTCAAATAGGTTTCTAATGTATGTATATATGCATGGCTCCTTTTAAAAAATTCTTCTTGGAACTCATTCATCTTTTTTTTAATTTTTGGAATTTTGTTATAGTGTACATGTACTCTGTGGAGAGACAGAGAGAGAGAGAAAGTGCCAAAACACCCTGTAGTGGCAACGGGTACACTTAATCCCTTCTCTTCCATTCTCTCCATAGACTTCTGAGCACATGCACTCACACCTACTCAGCATGTTTCTCATGCTGCTGAGTCCAGGACTCAAACCTCAGAGTAAGCCACATCATATCAAGCTGATTTAACCACCAGCTGACCTCATTTGCCATTTTAAATCTGAAAATTTAAGTTTTATTTTAGCTTAAAATTTTAAAACATTATTTCTTTGTTTCTTCTTCATTTTTGTATTTGCATGGTTCTATTTTTTTATTTTATCTCTATGTAATCAAATATGATCTCTATATGATCTAACAGTCTAATTTTTTTGAATGTGACAATTTTATAATCTTTTCTGTGAATTTTTAAAACCTCAAATCAAGTTTTATTTGAATTTCCAAAACCTCTTTTAATTATTCTAATGTGTTTGTGAGATTTTATATATAGTGTTGTATACATGTATATACACATAGGACTTTTATTTTTATTTTCAGTCCTTCTCTTTTTTTAAATAATTATTTAACTTTATTTATTCATTTATTTATTTATTTTTTTAATTTTGACCAGAGAGGGTGGGAGAGAAAGTGAGTAAGCAAGCCACCAGGTCCATGACTCAAACCATGGTCGGCCATGTGGGAATCCAGCGCCTTAACGACCACACCACCTGCCGGCCCCTTAAATCCTTTATTTAATCTACCACATTTCCCTGTGTGTACATCTTTTTTTGCCTTTTCAAATCAATTCTGTTTGGTTTCTTCCTAAGCATTTGAGTATTTCAGGATAAAATCTCTTGGGCAACAGTAAACTAGCAGTAATAAATTAGCCAATATATTTCTTCTTGTTTTTACAGTCATCACTGTGCATCTTTGCAGCATACAAAATGAATCTTACCAGCACGACAACACTGCATTTAGTCCAGTCAATGATATCACCATACACATAAGTCTTGACTCATATTTTTTTTTACTTTTGTGTCTGTTCAATGTTTTGCTTTTCTTTTTTTATCTCCTTGATTCTCTTCCTCCTGCCTCCAATTGCTTACACTTCTCTGCACACTGTCTCTAGTATCCATGCCTTTATTACCTTCCAGTCTGTTAGTTCCTATCATTCATATGTATTTTATTATCACAGAGTACTGACATTCAGTATATATTAACTAGGGACATACATTGCTTCTCTTTCATAGTCTGGCTTGCTACATTCAGCATTAAATCTTCCATATTAAGTCATCACCACCAAATGCCAGAGTTTCATTGTTGTTTATGACTGACGAGTATTCCACAGTATGTACGTTGATTTCGTATTCTGACATTTTATTGTATTCATTTATCACTTACAGGAGTGTTTTTGTGGATTCTTTTTGGTTTTCTTATGTATATAATCATGTCTTCTGCTATAGAGGTAAATCAACTCTTTATTTTTCTATTTGTATGCCTTCTATTTTATTTTCTTACCTGATTGCATTGATTAGGACTTCTAGTGCTATACTGGAAGGGAGTGGAGATAGGGGGCAGCCTTGTCATGTTCCAGTTTTTAGTGGAAAAGGTTATCTTTTCCCCATTCAGTATGATGTCAGCTATGAGTTTGTAATAGAAAGCTTTTATTGTGTTGAGAAATATCCCTTACATGTGGCTTTTGCTGAGAATTTTAATCATAAAGGGATGTTGTATTTTATCAATTTATTTTCCTTCATCAACTGATAGGATCATCTGGCTTTTATCTTTCCTTCAGTAAATATGATGTAGTACATTTATGGTTTCACATTATGTCAAACCAACCTTGCATCCCTGGAATAAAGCCTACCTGATCTTGGTGTATAAGTTTTTTAATATGTCGTTGAATACAATTGTAGTAGTAAAATCACTAGTCTTTGGTTGAGAATTTTTGCATCTGCATTCATCGGGGCTATTAGTCTAATAGCTTTCTTTTTTTTTTGATGCCTTTGTCTATTTTTGGAATGAGGGTGATGGAGGCTTCTTATAATGATTTTTCATATCTTTAGAAATAGTTTAAGTAGAATGGGGTTTAGCTCTTCTTTAAAAGATTTGTAGAATTCAGGAGGGAAGCATCAGGACCTGGGCTTTTGGTCAATGTACTGAGCTGTGTTTTAAAAGACTGTCTGTTTTCAAAAGTAGCTGGAAGAAGCTACTCTGATCAACACTGCAACTTTCTGCTTGGATCATTGATGATAGCCAGTCTTCCACAAAGCTGTGTGCAACTGGTGGGCAATTGTGGTTCTCTCTTACATCACCAGTTGCTTGCCCTCATCCTAAGGGTCTATATGCAGTTTCAGTCACCGAAGTAACGACTTTTACTTTCTAAGACCCTCAACACTGTGTTCCAGCTCTGTTACACTCCCTTACACCTGTATATATATATATATATAACCACCAGGGGGGGATGGCCACGCCTCAATTCCTTCTCCTCCATTCTCCTCTCGGGATCTTGGGCATGCACGCACACGTGCCCGGCATGAGTTTAAGCCACCAGGTCTGGGACTCGAACTGTGGTCAACTACATGGTAGTCCAGCGACATAGCCATCATGCTAATTGCTGGTCCCACACCTGTATCTTTTTAAGAATTTGAAGTCCTGTAATAGGGAACTTCAGAAAGCTCATGGAAAAATTAAACTATAAGTTTATTTTGGTGCAAAAAAGATTATGTAAACCATGTGTAGTTTTTTTCATAATATGAATTTTCCATGAGCTTTGTGAAGACTCCTAATATATCTGGTATTATCTCAAGGCTTCAAATATCTTCCATATTAATTGAAAATTTTTCTCCACAGCAGATATTTTGATTAGACTCAAAGAGGCACAAGACCCAGAGATTAACTGCCAAAAATCATGGATCCAAAATTTTTATTTTTTTAAGGTATGTGCTTGTGTGTGTGTCTGTGTGTGTGTGTGTGTGTATGTGTGTGTGTGTTTTCCATAGGGTGTGTACAGTTGCCAGAGAAAGACAGTGAGAAGGAAAATGAAAAATCACCCACTAGGGGAAATGGTACACCACAATCCTTCATCCTCCACTCTCCTCCTGGATTAACCACTGAATTTTAACCAAGTGAGTTAATATGATCAAATTGTAGAGAGAGTCCATTAATGTCTTTGCTTAGTTTTCTATTGATTGTCTTTTTCTTACTGATATATATATAGGGCACGTGCTATAGGGCACGTGCACTGGCCAGACAGACAGAGAGATAGAAAGCGAGAAATCACCCCTCCAGAGGGGATGGCCACGCCGCAATCCCTTCTCCTCCATTCTCCTCTTGGGATCCTGGGCACGCACACACATGCGCCCAGCGTGAGTTTAAGCCACTGGGTCCGGGACTTGAACTGCAGTAGACTACATGGGAGTCCAGTGACATAGCCATTACACTAACTGCTGGTCCCTCTTACTGATTTTTTTAAAGCTTCTTAGACAGTAAGTAGATTGGGCCTTTGTTTATCCTATGCAGTATAAATTTTTTTTCAATAAAATATTTGACATGTTATATGCAGAAAGTTTTTATTCTTAAATAGTTAAATGGGTCAATAGTTTATTTTATTGTTTACTTGTTTTAATGCTTACAAGATCTTCTTTATTCCATAATGATGTGAATGTTAACCTCTCATTTTTTAAATTTAATATTTTTATAATTCATCTTGAAATTTCAATAGTTTAGTCACATGGAACTGATTTTATGAAAAAAGATAAGTCTCTATATGCAATATAATTCATTAAGTACTCATTAGTTCCCCTGATACTTTAAAATAGATTTTTTTAACCCTAAATTAAATTGCTAAACATATTTATGTCTACTTTGGGTTTCTCTGTTCTTTCACATTGAGCTTAGCTATTCCAATGTTAATCCAGACTGTTCTAATTACTGTGATGTTATAATATATTTAAAGTCTGTTGAGGCCAATCCCATTCTTATTCTTGTTTTAAAATGGATATTCTTACCTGTTTATTTTCCACATAAACTGCAGAAGCAGAATGGTTTGGAAAAAATCATGTTGATATTTTTATTGAGATCTGTCATAGTCCCAAATGTATAGAATGAGCTATAGAGCAATTCCAAAATTTATAGAATATAGAACTTTGTTATCTTTATGATGCTGGGTTTTTTTTAGTAAAGTGTCTCTAGTCCCTTATTCATTTTTTTCACAGATAACATTTTGAACCTTCTAAACTTTTGTTTTCAGGAAAGAAAACTATCAACTGCTTAAACAAGAGGATTATAACTAACTGGTTGACTTTCTACATAGACATGCTTCATATGTTATCAGTAATTTTATCTCCAATTTTACTTTATCTTGTCTAATTGCATAGGCCAGTAGCTCCAGAAGAAGGTCAAACAATAGTGAGAACAGTGCGTAAGGTTGTTCTGTTTCCTCTAATTTTACTGGAAATTTTTCAGGTATTTGACACATAATAAACATTTTACTATACGGTGTTTCTGTACTTTCCAATTCTTCTGGGTTTTCTTCACTGTTATCTTTGTCCAATCCTGAAATTTCTTTTAATTTGCTTAAAGATTAAAACAACAACAACAAAACAACAGTGCTTCACTCATTACTTTAGGAGCGGAAAAAAAATGGTTAGGAAGGCTAACTGGAAGAGGAAGTCAAACTCCATAGAAATAACCAAAGCAAAGGGTTATAAAAACTTATGTGGGGAGAAGGCCATGCCCTACAGTCACTCTACAGAGGGGGGAAAAAGGAGCTTGGGGAGGAGTCCGGGCCACTCCCGCCCCCTGCCCGATTTGTGCCACCCGCGGAGATGAAACGTGAGCCCCAGTGGCTGAGGACGCCAGCACTGCTGCCTCCCGCGTGCCCGCGAGCAGTGGGGCGAGACAAAGGGACCTCAGCGCCCAGCCTGCCCGGCGGGGCACAGCACGCCGCAGCTCCGTCCTGTCCCTTGCCGCAGGTCCGGACGCGCTGGGACCAGGCTCTCATCGAAGACCACCTGGGCCATGGCCAGGTCTCCGCTCGACCCCGCGCTCGGGAGCACTGCTATATCCACCTGACCGCCCTCCAGCTTCTCCATTCCCTCGCTGTTCTGGCCGGTTTCTTCGCGCCTGTCCATTCTCCAATCTGTCCGTCTGTCCTGGTGCACAACCGCCGGCCACCGGCTTGGATGGGCGCGCCGAGGCGGCCCGGGAGTCCGGCAGTCTTGCTGTCGAAGTTGTTCTTGATCTTTGTCTACGCAGGTCAGTGAAAGAAGGCGAAGGGAGAGGGTCAGGGGACTTGGGCTGCTCTTGCTCACAGCTTGGGTGAAGGCGGGTAGGGCAGGGCAGACTGGGTTCTTTGTGGGAACTGTGAGGTACAGGCTGGGCTGCGATAGCAGAAACCTGAGCGCTAGAATCCTCCTCTGGACCTTCAGGAGGTGTTGTTTTGTTTTCTCCTGTTTTGTTTTAACTTGGCCTTTTTACCCTTTCCCTCTTTCCCCTTTTACTGGGCAAAGCAACTTGCAAACTATAATCCCGCGCTTTAGGGAATTTTACCCTCTGGAGAGTGCAAAATATATCCAATTGTAAATAGGACTCGAGATAAATCTGAGGGTGCAGGATGGAGCTGAGGTGGGAGCAGAGCAATTATGATGTGCACCTGAAGTTTAGTACTGCCGGAGTTTGAAAATAAACTGATCAGCGACTTCCACTGCCCCTCCCTCCACCTCCTACTTTATGAATAATTCTTCCTTTTCCTCTTTAGGAATAAAACGCTTTAGACTTTTTTTTTTCTTTTTCTTTTTAGCAGATTCACAAGTGTAGAAGTGTACTAGACTGGAAAGAGGTATGAATTGAATCAAAATATAAGGTTTTTGAGAGGCATGAGTTCTTCCAGGGTCTAATCTGTTTCTGTTGATTTGGGAAAGAGCATGCTTATAGGTGCAGGGAATCTTGCTAATGGTGAAGAAAGTGTGTTTTCTTGTTTTGTGTTTGATATGGAGCCCTAAATAGCTTTTCATTGGTTATTCATATTTACAGTTAATTACACATGTGGTCTTTGCATCTGTTCATATTCATTAAACAGTGCAAGCTGAAAGTGAAGTACTTTGGTTAATGTTTTCATGTCCCTAACTTCCTCTGACAAAAATTACAGACTTACCCATGACCCTGTAATACTAAATGTATGTATGCTGCTGTAGTTTATATTTTGATACTTTGAGTATCAAAAGATACTGCAACTGAAGTGAAGATTGTCTTCAACATTGTTCCCTGAGCATTGAAAGGAACTGAATTTCTTATTCAACTTTGCCAGAGTGGAGTCGCCATAACAGCTATAGAAATTTCAGTATAGAGTCAGCCAATGGTGTGATGGTTGAGATGGCGGGATGCCACGTGGCCAACTGAGTGGCTGGAATTCCTGGCTGCTTGAAAATCACTCTGTATGTGTGTGTATATGCATATCCAAGTCCTGAGAGGAAGGTGGAGAAGAGATTGTGGTGTGGCTAACCCCTCTGGGGATGCTTTCTCTTTCTCTATCTCTATCTCCCTCTTTTGTTACTTCTCTCCAGTGAGAGCACACACCCTCTAGCAAACAAAAATCAGAAAGAAAGAAAAGATAAATTTCAGTTGTTTATAGAAATACAAGTCAATGGGCGGCCCAATAGTGACCATTTTAAAGCCATTTTATGGTTTTCTAATAAATTTTTAAGAGTAGGTTATATCCTTCCTATATAATGAGGAAAATCTATATTGTAATTAGTTGGTAACATTTATTTATGTTTTTATTTATTACTTATATAAGGTTTTACACATTTGAGGGATAAAGACTCAATTGCAGTGGTATTAATTTTACCTAAAAGTACATTTCATTCATTTAAAGCAATGATAATTCTTTCTAGCTCCTTTGCTTATCAGCAGAAAAGGAAAATAAGAAAATAGAAAAAAAAAAAAGATTTTACTACCCTCTCACTCTTATTCCATTGAACCACACACACTCTTCCTCTGAGTGGAGTTTGTTTTATTCCATGTGGTCACTGAAAGCTTCCCTTTTGCACACTTGTCCTTGCCTTCCTCCTATGCCAGGTCCTTAGCTGCTCAGGGCTCAGAAAGCCAGCTGAGCTGCCCAGCAACAAGGTGGCTTAAGAAAGTTTTCACTCCATTCATTTCTTTCCTTCTCAATTCCTCCTTAGTAAGTTACAGCGTAATGGCAAACCAATGATGCTGGTTGACTTACTGTCTTTGACAAGGAATGTGCAGCCAATAGGCTCTTTGGCATTAATTCCCAAAATTTCCGAGGACTTTTTAGTTTTTCATACTAATACTGAGTGAGATAGATTGAGTTATTGACAGTGCAGAGGTCATGCTCTCTAGGATAAAGCATTCCATGCAGTATCATAGGACACAATCATGTGCTCTAGGTGTTCATATGAGAAGGCCATATTGCTGACTTAGGAGTGTAAGTACCATGAGGAAGATGAATTCTTCTTTGCTCAGCAAAATATCTTTAGAGACTAGCAAACCTCCTGGCTCCTTAAAGGAGTTCGGTAAATGCTGTGTCATTGTAAAATTATGACACATTTTTGCATAGAAAACTGTCATGACTTTTCTGACAACCCAGTATTTGCTCAGGAAAACTGAATTAAGGAAGACTTGAAGGAACTAGACCTTCAAAGTATAGGGACGACCTGGACACAAGGAGACAGAGCAGGATATAGTAAGACTTGGTGTGAACGAAGGCAAAAATCATGAGATGTGTATATGCAACAAGGAATAAGTCGGTCTCATTGGAACTAAAACATACAGCCAGAAGTGAGTTTTTAGAAGTTTGATGCTAGAATACTACACAAATAAAAATAGTCCAGACACCCTTTCAATGAATTGCCAACTTTATGGGACAAAACCCTGAGCAAATTCACTGTCAATAACTGAATTTATTGTGGCAAATAATTAAATTCATATTCTATTTAGTGAAGCAAATCAGAGCAAGATTTCTATACCTGAACCATTGTGTTTTACCGTGGAGTCACTTTTGAAAAGAAAGCCAGTGAAGTGTTTATATTATTATCCAACTCCCACTGCAAGCTACAAAGGCAGGATTTGGTCAAGGTTTTACCTTCTGGGCCTTGGCTAGTGACTTCTGTCCCCTCCCTTTCCTTCCTCTCTTATCCTTAACTGTGGTGAGCAAGAAGAGACCTTCTAAGCAAGTGTTCAAGCCAGATATTGCTTTTCCTGTGTTGCACATTCCTTAAGGTGGAGGGGGCCAGTAGGGGTGAGTTGAAGAACTTCTTCTAGATTAAAAGGCCACTGAAGAAAGTTTAGACTGGCCTATTTTCAGGGATATTAACTTGGATATTAGAAGTAATGTTATTTGTCTTCTGCTGGTAATTGGAATGTTCATTCTTTCCAAAATGAGAAAATGTTCCTATATGGTCCAAATGCTGATCTTCATAGAATTATTCTCAAGTAAACTGGAGGAACATCTAACATAACAAAATGAGCTTTGAAATGTGATCAAAATCTCAGTTTGGAAATGTGATTGTTAATGTGTCTGCCATACTGTTAAGTTTGCTCCTTGTGGTAGCTTAATTCTGGGAAGTGGACAAAAACACTGGAGACTGCTATAACAATAATGAACAATGTGTGGCATGGTCCAGATGTTTGCTGCAGGTATAATTAAGTTTCTTGGCTATAAGATTAAGGGCTTGGTTTCCTGTAATGCTGGCTCAAAATATTTTGACAACACCATGTCCTTGTAATAATAGTAATTGGAGTATACATTACTCTAATTGAATCTTTGTACTTGTAGTTAAATCTCTAATATTTATGGAGAGTGTAGTAAGATGTCACTCCTGGGTGTCACTCGGAAATCACAGATAGCCCTTGTCATTTGATGGAAAGTGGTCAGATATAGAGGATCTATTGCTGACTGAAGCAAGCCAGGATATGACAGTAAGATACTGTGCACATTCACTTAATATATACTGACTATCCACACTTTGTGGTAGAGATCAAAATATTGGAGGGCATAAAAGCAGTGAAAATAGTTAGTGAAGATGAAGACAGTTGGAACAGGGCAGGAGAAGAGAAGAGTATGGAGAAGGATAGCAAGAGAACAAATAGAGAGGCATGACATTAGTGGGACACAGATATGGTTTATTACCTGTTGATGATTACATGTATAGTATCTTGAATTGGACTGGTCTGAGAAGTATTTCATGTTGGGTAAAGTCTTTTTACAAGTAAAATGATAAATAGTGATTGACTGTTTAAAAAAATAATTGAAATAATAATAATAATCTGGGAAAAAATAATGAAAAGCTATTTGAGGACAATGGGGATTTTAATGTCTTTATATTGACTGATATGCATGGTATTCCTTCTGGAAAAAGAAATATAATACACTGTAAAGTTATATGTGATTCAATGTAATGTAAACAAGATTATGATGATAAAAAATCACCGATAGCTATTTACGCATTGGTTGTTTTACTCTGATAGAATAGTGGAGACAATGGCTCATTCATCATCTAACTTTTAAGAACATGAAGTACAAAATATGTGCTAAACTCTTGATATAAATATTCGAATAAATTAAACAGCATCAAAAATGGGAGCTATGGAAATTTCCAGAGAAAACTACAAAAGAGTAATTTTTTTTTAAATTTTTTTTGAGAAGTTTTTGCTATAGAGCGCGTATGCTCGCCAGAAAGACAGAGAGACAGAAAGCGAGAAATCACCCCCCAGGGGGGATGACCACGCTGCAATCTCTTCTTCTCCATTCTCCTCTTGGGATCTTGGGTATGCGTGCACACGCGACCGGCATGAGTTTAAGCTACTGGGGCTGGGACTCGAACTGCAGTCAACTACATGGGAGTCCAGCAGCATAGCCATTATGCCAATTGCTGATCCTATTGACCACATGCTTTTGTAAAAAGTCATCTTGAGAGAGGTTATTTAAAAACAATCTAGGGTTGGCTCTATAGTACAGTGGTTAAGCTCTGTGCATTGGGAGCTGGATCTCACATGGTCAATTTTGGTTCAAATCTTGGCCCTCAAAGTTTGAAAACATGCCTGGCATGCGCTCCAAATCCCGGTGGGCTAGAGAAATGGAGGAATAAGGATTGCATTCGACTGTACCCCATGGGGTGGAAGAGGCAGACACAATGACATTCTTTCTCTCTCTCATCAGTACGTGTACCCTCTGACATTAAAAAATAAATCCAAATTCTCCTTTTTAGATAAATAAGTTACATGGCAAGTAGACATAAACATAATTTATTTTGTACTTCTATTGTTATAACTTCCACAAGAAAACAAAAGTTTCATATGATTTATTTAGTACTTAATAGTACCTTCAAGAATTGAATTGGAAATTACTTATTTTGTTGTGATTCTTGAACATAAATGATTGGACTGTGTGTAATGTTTTCCTTCTCATATACCAACCTCTCAGATGCATTTACTACTGATCATAATTCAATGGTATCCTTAACGTTTAAAGCATAAATAACTTAAGTGAAAAAGGGAAATTTCAAAAGTGATAATCATTTTTATCCAATGTTTTTGATATAATTTTTCTTTATAAAAATTACATGGAAAAAATAGCATTTTTTTTTTTGAGAGGTTTTTGCTATAGGGCACGTGAGCTCACCAGAAAGACAGAGAGAGACATAGGAACAGAAAGCGAGAAATCACCCCTCGGGGGGATGGCCACGCCTCAATCCCTTCTCCTCCATTCTCCTCTTGGGATCTTGAGCATGCACGCACAAGTGCCTGGTGTGAGTTTGAGCCACCGGGTCTGGGACTCAAACCGTGGTCGGCTACATGGGAGTTCAGCGACATAGCCATTATGCTAACTGCCGGTCCCTTAGTTTGTTATCTTCAACATATCCTTTCAAACATAAAATCTCTTCCCATATCACAAAGTTTTGTTTTATAGCTTATTGGTTCTTCAGGCTGACATTAATAAATTCTTTATTATTCAAAAATTAATTTTCCAGGAGATTTTCCTAAACTAACTCATCTTCCAACTCAATGAATTGATGGAATACAGACTCATTTGATGCAAATATCTGTGTGGAGACTAGTTATAAAGGAAATAAATGTTGTAAAAAGAAAACTATATTATCTATTGTCATAGAAAATACACATTATTTTTAAATCATCCTGTTTGATATTATCCATGTCAATAACCAGTTGGATACCCCATGGACAACCATGCAGTTTGAGTCCTGAACCTGGTGGCTTAGAATAAAAGCCAGGCACCTGTGCCTGCATGCCTAAAATCCCAAAAAGGAAAGAGAAACGGAAGAGAAGGGATTCCAGTGTGATCTTGCTTCATGGAGGGATGGTTTCTTGTTATTCCTCTCTCTCCTCTTTCTCTTTTTCTTCTCTAGTAAGCACATGTATCTCTGGTAAATGCTTGAAAAATCATAAAAATTCTGTTGGCAAATTGAATGACTGATTAGGTGATTTATTCATCCATTGCTAACTTTATTATCTCACTTTAATTAACACCGAAGACTTTTTATTTATTTATTTATTTTTATTTTTTAAGGTAGAATCTCACGTGTGGGAATCATTCTTCCTCAGCTGCCCAAATTACTGGGGTTACAATCACCCCATCTTTAGGCTGGACCAGGAATGGAACCTGGGCCTTCCGTGTGGTCCTATACTATGGAGCCCAGATCTCAGCAGTGCCCACCGCTGTGGCTGAGCCTCACTCCCTATTACTGGACTAGATGCTGAAGATTTGAGAAGAATAGTCTTTACCTTTTCTTAGACCTTTAAATTAAAGTCTAATGGGCAAGAAAGGCTAGTTTAGACCCTAGCAAATGTTCAGAGTTCTGAATATGCAAACAACATCTAAATATACTAAAGTATGAGCATTAGCCTGTTATGATGTGAAATAGAAAGCCAAGAGGTTGCTCCATAGTAACACATCTGGGCCCACTGGGGAAAGGCTCTGGGTTTGTGTTTCGGGACCTCCATAAGCACACCAGGCACATGTCCCCCTACCTGCAATCTTGGCCTGATGAGCCTGGGGGTGAGTCCCAATGTGAGGAGCCTGTGAGGAATTCCCATCTCTCAGTCTAGTGCTCTCTCTTTCTCTCTCTCATGGAAGAACTAAATATAAATTTTTTATTTTTTATTTTTATAAACTTTTTTAGGTTGTTGCCAGAGAACGCTTGTGCTTGTCAGAGAGAGACAGAAAGAAAGTAAGAAATCACCCCCAGGAGGATGGTCAAATTCCAATCCCTTCTCTGAGACTCTCCTCTTGGAATTTTGGGCATGTGCATGTGCCCAGTGTGATTTTCAAGCCACTGGGTCTGGGACTCAAACTGTGGGAGTCCAATGCCTTAACCACCATGCCACCTGCTGACTCCTAAATAACTTTTAAAGTAAAATAAAATTTTTGGAAAGTGTGATTTCACAATGGCAGCAGCTCTCAGGAGGTTTGTATTTTGTAGATGACTGTGTTGCCCAGTGTGGCAAAGACTGCAGCTCTTACTGCTGTGATGGAGCCACGCCCTACTGCTGCTCTTACTACGCCTACATCGGGAACATTCTCTCGTGAGTATTGGCCCCAGTTAGCAATATTGATACTCCCTCCCTTGTCCACTTACATTTCCAGTAAGTTCTATGATACAGTTGTGTATAATAAGATTGGTTAGTGACAAATTTTTTTCCAGGAGACATTAACTATACAACACTATATAGTGTGTCATATTATCTGAAAAAATGTTTAAATTAATATATGAAATAAGTTATCTTTGTTTTATAAAAGATAAATATTCTTTCATTGCTTAAATTTGTAGACCATAGTCTCTTTTTTGGTGATTATTGAATATTGTCAATGTTATTGTCTGCTTTGTTGAAGGACTTGTAAGGTACAATTTGTTATTTTGTTATGTCCAGTTTGTTTTGCCATCCATGTGTTACTCTGATGCTTTCAGTAGATACCAGGGAAAAGAGCTCTGATGATTTCAAAACAGCTGAGATGTGAAATCTCTATTCCTACATAACACATATAAAGCAATTTCAGAAAACAGGTATAGAGCCCAAGAAAAGCTAAGTATGAATAATGTAAAGGGATTAAAAAACAAGCCACACGTGCAACAAGAAATAAGTATGCATAGAATGTGTTAAGCATTTTCCAATCGTAAATTAATCGTTTTGGTTCAGCCATGCTGGCATGTTCTGCTAAGATGCTGTGCTCCAAGGTAGGGACCACATGGCAAGCCCGGGTCTGATTCCCTGTCCTCCCCAAAGGTGGATACGGTGGTGTGCATATGTAATCCCAGTGATGCTTAGGGCTGGAAAAGGAGGAGCCCGAGCTTAGGGCTGGCCAGGACAACATAGCAAGACACTAACGGATAGAGTTGGATGTAGTGACTCACATACGTCATTCTAGCTAGGAGTCTTAAGGCAGGAGGACACAGTGAGACTGTCTTAAATGTTAAAAATTAACAAGTATAACTTAAGAATTTTCTTTGGAATTGCAAAGGGAAACGAGAAAGCAGGATATACTTTCTGAGTTGTACGTCTGGAAATGAGTGTACTTGTCAATTCCTCCAGAGAAGAATGCGATTAAGAAATGAAAGGTAAAGACTTAGGAACATAGGGACCAGCAGTTAGCATAATGGCTATGTCTCTGGACTCCCACGTAGTCGACCGCGGTTTGAGTCCTGGACCCGGTGGCTTAAACTCACACTGGGCGCGTGTGTGTGCGTGCCCAGGATCCCAAGAGGAGAATGGAGGAGAAGGGATTGCGGCGTGGCCATCCCCCCTGGGGGGTGATTTCTCGCTTTCTATCTCTCTGTCTCTCTCTGTCTGGCGAGCGCACACGCCCTATAGCAAAAACCTCTCCAAAAAAAAAAAAAAAAAAAGACTTAGGAACAGGAATACCGTGAACTAGAATTCCCCCTGGCTTTCAGGTAGTGGCAGCAGTCTGGCCTCTGGCCTCAGGCTTTTTTCTTTTTCAGTTAAGTATCAGAATGATCAGGAAGCTGCTCTGTTCCCAAACAGTTTTTGCTTAATTCTTGTCCTCCAAAGGCTCAAGTGGAAACAGGATATTAGGCACTAAGTCATACGTGCCCAGCTATTTTAAGGATGTAGCCACTGAGACCTCTCAGAACACATCCTCCGTTTCCTCCATAGTAAACCTGGTACCATGTGAACTCTAGAGTCAATACTGGGCCTGGTATCAGCTAGGGATCATGTCCCTGAATACTAGAGGTCTTCAAAAAGATGTTTGAAAATCCAAGCTACGAAAAACTATGAGCCATGTTATTGTCCTGATGTTAAGATTGCATGATAGTTATATAACAATGTGTGCTTGCTTTAAGAAGTACGTTCTGAAGTCTGAAGGGGTAAAGGGATCTCACACATGGAGTTTACTCTTAGACCACTGAGAGACCTTAACCATGAATGAAAGGTAAAAGGAAGCTTTTCAAATCATATTTGCAACTTCGTGTAACTTAAAATCATATCCAAATAAAAACTTAAAAAAAAAAAGAAATGTGCTTTACAAAAAAAATGATACTTTGGGATACTCTTGAAAACTATCATAGATGTAAGAGAAATGTCGGGCTGTAATAAACTAAATGATGGGTGAGCTCTGAGCATTCTTTGAAAGGCAAGTAACACTAAATAAAATGTTTAAAATTTTCCTCATGGGTGATTTGCTGAAAAAGAGATAAGCCCACTTCCTACACTAGAAAACTGTTAGCATGATTTTTAAATTTTTTAATGCTCAATATAAATGTATAATGGTGTTTACAGTTGTGTATTGTTCTCTAGTGTTGAAAGTAATTTAAAATACATTTAAATTTTACTCATACATTTAAATTTTATTCTGGGTGGTCTCCACATACCAGGGTGTTATTGCAGGTAGATACTGGGGTGGCCCAGCAGGAAAGATTTGAGGAACCTCATCCCTCAGTGATTCTGATCCCTGGCTGCTGGCCTTGCTCCCACTTCTCTTCTACCGCACTACACCACAAAGCACATTGTGTCTCCACTCTCAGCTCATGACTGTCCCCACCCTCATAAATGTGTGTAGAACACAGAATTGCTTATTAATCAGAATGTTTTACAAGTTTTAAATTGGAGATGTGTTTCATACGATTTACATTTGTGGTGAAGTTCACGTTTTTATGGTACATGTTCTGGATTTTTAACTACTTTAACACTGATTAAAGACTTCATTGAGTTGACATATTTATCTGGGTTATTAGGACTATGTACTTGTTATGTTTGGAAAAAAGAATCATGTTTTGGAAGGGAAAATAAACACAAATGGCATTATAGTTCATGCAGTTAAACCGAACTTTCTATTCAAAGAAATCACTGAATAAATCCCTTGCTAAACAATTCTTAGTGAAAAGAGAAAAAAAAAGAAAGAAAGAAACTTTAAAGTGTTTTCCCCACTGGATAAAGAATACGTTTCCAGGATTTCCAGTTATTGTTTAACATTTGAAAAGAGTTCTTAACTCCACCCAAAGCATTTTTATTTTTTTAAGTTTGAGATTGAGGGGGAGGGAGTGCAGTAGGTAGAAAAAGAAGTCAATTCCAAGAAGACTTACAATAGTTCTGTTATGCAAGTGTTTTCAAATATTGCTGTTTTGGAACTCATAATCTATGCCTCCTCTCTCTCAAGCTTCCAGGTGTCTTCTAAGTAAAATAATTTTAGTTGCCTTAATAGAAAGTTAAATATTTATCGTTCCCAGAAAAGTAAAAAGGAAGAAAGCAATAAGCACAATGAGATATTATGTATCATAATCGAATAACTTTGGTTATAGTTTGGCTTATATTTTTGCTTGTTTTAAAAATAAAAATGTTAGCTTTGTTTAAAATCAACTGAAAAGAATACGAAATAGTTTGGGTCATTGAAGACTGTTCATAAGCTGGTACGCTTAGGTCCACTTGACCCTTTTTGTTGAGCCCAGACCTTCAGCAACTAAAATAATCAGAGTTGAGTGGACAAGTTCAACCCTTAATTCTGTTTACTCCAACTGTCCTAACCATTTTGAAAACTACTATGATTTGTGTTTAAAGCTATCATGAGAATTTCTAATTCACTTTTTAGTTGAAGAGTTTTATTTTACTCAGTTTTCTGCTTTTTATTACTTTAAGATATGAGTTAATTTTGGCAAATAAATTCAGATTCCCTCTTTTTCTTATTGTAGCTAAAAATTGTGAATTTACTTTTGTCTCATGAAAAACTTTGAATATTAAACTTTAAAATAGTGTATCTAGAGCCAGCAGGTAGCATCTAGGTTAAGGAAATGAATCCCATGTGGCCAGCTGAATGGTTCAAGTCCTAGACCCAGGGGCTTGAAACTCATGCCAAATGCTTGTGTGTGTGCACCCTAAGTACCAAGGAGACTGGAGGAGAAAGGATTGCAGTATAGTCATCCCCTCTAGGGAGGGTAATTTCTTGCTCCTCCACCATCTCTCTCTGGTGAACACCATACCCTATAGCAAAAACTTAAAAACAAAGAAATCTAATGTTGCCCATTATGGTCACAGATTCTAACTTTAATTTAGAAGAATCAAAATGTTATTTTTCAAAATTAAAGAACAATTTTTGCAGTAGCCAGTGTTTACTATTCAATCGATTAATAGTTTATAAATACACATTGAATATTAGTTACCATGGTAGTGCTGAATTAGATCCTGGAATTCATTTGGGCATAGTGAGCCAGATGATATGATGTAATAAATGATGAATGATTTAAAAAAAATAAGAAGAAGAATAAAAATAAATAGATGACAATTTGAATTCAGTGAGTTCATCTATGAGGCATTTGGAGGACTGAAAGAGCGCTAAATGTGTGTGTGTGTGTGTGTGTGTGTGTGTGTGTGGTGTGTGTGGGGTGTGTGTGTGTGTATTTGGTTAGCCAGATGTTTAGGAAAAGCCTCATAACCATGGAATTTGATCAGACGTTTGAAGGAAGAGTAGATATTTACATACATAGCAAAGAAAGGGAAATGCATTCCAGACACAGAGATTCACATTCAAAGGCCAAGATAAAAGAAAGGAAATGGTCAGTTTGGGAAAACCCATGTTACTCAGGATAGCTAGAGGGAAGTGATAGAGTTTGAGTGCAACATGGGGATAAATAGGTAAGACAAAAGATAGACCCTGAATGAAATATTTTTATTGGTCATTTCTAACCAAGCTAGAAAGAGATTTTCTAGAAATAAATGATCTGATTTTACATAGGTCCATAGGTCGGACAAATTCTTAGCTACTACTGTGACAGTAGGCAAAGGTGAGAAGGTTCTAACTGAGAAGTGTTTTTATTTATTCCATAGATGAAAGATTTGGGATACATACACACTTTGAGATTTTACACTATTTGAGGCCACATGATAAAATAGATAACCTTATAGTTATTCCTTCATTTAACAGATTTTTGTCTATGAGGGCAACTACTTGAAGGTGAGAATCCATAATAGGTTTCAAAATGAGAATTAAACTAACTTGAAAAATTAAAAAAAACTTCTTACCAGAGCAATTCTCACACAATTTATCCAGCAATTCTTCCCCATGGAAGATAAATATT